CAGCTGGGCATTCTGCAGGAGCAGGCGTCTCGACTACAGCAGGAGAGAGAGATGTCAGTCTGGGCATTTATTACGTACACACGGAAATCCCACCAGTGTCTTTGTGTCTCTCATACACACACATGCGCTTTACCCTCACAGGGAGATGTACAGAATCACAGAAGGCTTGCAGAGAGAAAAACACAGCTTGATGAAACAGTTAGATCTACTCAGGTGAGCTCGGTACATCCTTACATATGCTGTAGACAAACTACAAACATCTCAAATGAAATGTTGTTCTTTTAGAGAAATGAATAAACATCTACGAGATGAGCGAGACATTAGCTTTCTGGTAAGTTTACGATTTTAAATATTTTTATTTTTATTTTTTTACATTTTATTGTAATTTGGTGGTGCGGTTTTGTAAATTTTATTCGTTTTTTATGTTTTTATTCATGCTACTTATGATCTTAAAACATTTTGTTCTAAAGCTTAGACATTAGAAATTAATTTAGCATTTGGTCACATAATAATTCCCATATTTCTTTTATCTTGTGTCTTTTCATAGTTTTGACGACTTTACTGTTTTTCTAAAACGTGGAAAATGTTAATAATAAAAAATGAGTGGGTGTGTTCCAACTTTTGACTAATAAGAGCAATCATAAACAGAATATCTCCTTGTAATTTACAACAGAAACGCAGCAATTCAATGAAGAAATCCTCACGCAAGCACAGACTGAGCGCAGCTTCAATAAAATACACTGAGAGAAAACCATCAGTCAAAAAGTGAGACATCTTCACATATTCGCACGTGGATACCTACGTACATGATTTAATAACATGGAAACATTTACTCTCACCTCTCACTGTCATTTCAGAGAAGTTGACGAGGAGGAAGTGACTCAGGGCTCTAACAGGAAGTCCACCTCTTTAACAAACAGTCAATGTTCACCCTTCACCGCAGGGGATGATGGGAAGCCGGAGGTGGATGTGCAATCTCAGAAGGTGTCTGGGGACTCAGAAGGTGTAAATGACAGAGGGGATGTGGAGGATGCGCCACCGGATGGTTGGCCTCTACGCAGAGTCATATCCATCGAGGAGGACCACCTCCCCCACCTGTTACAAGGAGACCCTCACCTTCTTCTGCATCAGCTCAGTGAGGAAGAAGAAGAGCGAGCCGGAGAGGAAGAAGTTCAGGGGGATCTAGAGACGAGCTCTCTCTACCCGTCCAATGCGTCTCTGGCCTCTGCTGACTCTCCACCACCAGTTAGGGTGAAGAAGCCGTCTAAGAAGAAGTGGATCAGAGGAAACATGCCCTCGTCTGCACGGGGTCAGCCTGTTGGAAAGGAGACCCACCAGCAGGTCAGTGACGGGGACATATCATTGAGTACCTCATTTCACATGCATTTACATTTTAAAGTCATAAAACCAAATAATTCTTAATTCAAAAATCAGAGACGGAGTCAAAATGTAAGAGACTTGGTAATATGTGGATTTCGAGACTATGGCCCATTTAAAGTGTAATCGTGTTTTTTATGTGCACTCAACACATCTAGCTGTTAGCTTTACTTTAAAGATGTCACTGTGTATGTTTTTGGCTACAGGGTCCAGCAGAAGGTGCTGCCGCATCCCCTCAACGCCTCTTTAAGGTCATTCTGGTGGGAAACTCCAGTGTTGGTAAAACCGCACTGCTGAGACGCTTCTGTGATGGACAGTTTCATTCTGCCACCTCAGCCACTGTGGGTAAGTTGCTCTATCCCTCCATGTGCAATTTACTATTTAACTTTGCACAAGTTGGTGAGTGGACAGGTCAGTTCAAGTGGGTTTAACAGATGACTTTGCAATGAGGGATTTTCAGTAAATGCAAATTGGTTGCCCTTTTACTGGAGTTTATCTTATTTGATCAGAAGGATGAATTACAGCAATCTCTTTTGTTATGATTTAAATGGTCTGTGCATTATTATTCTGCCTTAAATGCGTTTCAGTGCATTGGGTTTGAATATGTGTGAGTGTTAATGAACCTACTATGCTATATCAGATGGATTTCTTAAAGCAGGAAACATCACATGAAAGGGCTTGGGAAGTCACACTCCCTGCATTTAAAGCCTGCCACACATTGCACAGCAGATTATGTCAAACACCATCAGTTCACTTTATATCAAAGTTTCTAGGCTTTCACCCCTGGACTCTAGTGGCCCATAAACAACCTGGACGCTTAAATAATTCAGATTAAAAAATGAAATTGTATTAGTTACAAGTAAACCAAAATGGCAATTAACACTGGACTTTTCTCAGCCATTTTAGTTACTTTTAACCAGCTGGTCCCAAGTCAATTTTTAGTGAATGTTACTTTGTTGTCTTTCTTTGGAATAAATACAACTTGGTTCGATATTTTGCTCTATAATTCAATGACAATCATAAGCATGTGGCTAAAGTGTAAACACCTGTATATTGCACACAGAAATATTACTCAACAGTAACCTCTAGTGGCCATTATCCCTCACTGCAGTAATGATTTGTTGTCTGTTTTGATTTTTAATAAAGGAACATGATTTCAGCAGTATTTTATATGCCTTTATTTTGTTGTGTATATTTTTATTTAGCTTTATGTGTGTAGTGCACTTTTATATATAACTTCAATTGTGTTGTGTTGTTCAGGCATTGACTATAGTGTGCGGACTCTGAATTTGGGGGACTGTCACGTTGCCCTTCAGCTATGGGACACTGCAGGCCAAGAAAGGTGAGGCCCTGATACGAACATACAGGATAGAGTTTTGCATTTATATCTTCTTAGTTAGGACATTTACATTCAGCTTCAGTTTGTATGCTTCATTTTTGTTCCCCAGACTGTGCTGTTATCCTTTAAAGCATCTCTAAAAAGCTTGTCGCAACCAAAACATGAACTCACTTGTCACTGATGATAAACATCCAGCGTGAAAAAATGCAATGTCACTGTGCTCTGCAGGTATCGCAGCATTACCAAGCAGTTTTTCCGCAAGGCAGATGGCGTGGTGGTCATCTACGACATAACAATGGAGGACAGTTTCAGATCAGTCCGCCCCTGGCTGACCAGCATACAGGAGGCCGTAGGCGACCCTATCCCTGTCATGCTCCTGGGAAACAAATCGGACCAGGAGAATGTGCGAGAAGTGCAGACAAAGGAGGCTGATATGCTTGCAGAGGTGTGCTCTTGTGCTTTCTCTCACACACACAGTATGTCTTACCATATTTACATCATATGCTTTGCTGCCACAAGTCTACATTACTATATCCAACTCATTATGCACCGATTTGTGTTATATTTGGTAGGAAACAAACCTGATGTTCTACGAGTGCAGTGCTTATACTGGAGCTAATGTGTTGGAGGCAATGATACATCTGGCCAGGTAAGAACTGAAAAAACACATGAATGCAACGTTACCAAACGTATTACGTTTAGCTGTGATCTTTTTAACACCTCACCCAGGGCTACAACCCACAAAAAAGAGACGTATAAAACTGTCAGCTAGCTGTCTGCAAACATCATCAGATGTCAAACGGAAAGCTTGTGGGGGTTTTTTATCTTCAAAATGCGATTCTCTCATCTTTACATCAGTCGTTTTTTGTTGTTGTTGTTGTTGCAGACCTTGTGAACCTAATGTAGTTTATTTACTTTGAAAGGCCCACTAAATGTGCATGTTGGCGTTCATGTTGAGATCACATGACCTGCCCAATACTACTAAATACTACACAGTAACCCCACTATAACCAGACACTTTCAGCTGTCGAACAAATTAAAATTGGTTACATTTAAATGAATGGAGGTTACATTTACTTAAGTGTTCATTAAAATACTTATATAATAATCAAAGTTGCATTTACAGAATCCAATAAAATATAGATTTATTATTTTCTCAATGTTTTTGGTTGTGCTCCCATTTTTTATTTATTCGACAGCTAAGACTTTTATGTTAAAGAACATAATATATATCATAATATGATATTTTTGCAGAGTCCTGAGGGAACAGGAAGACAGAGTATGGGTGAACACGGTCAGACTGGTGGATCAACCACTGAAGAAGAAATCCTGCTGCAAGTGACCACACACACATACACACTTATGGGTGAAATCACTGCGCTTTATGTATCATCATCATCAGACCTTATACTCAATGTAAATAGTTGAATGTTGGCTGCAAATTCACTTATACCTGAATCAAGCACTAATAGTGTAATGTGTAAAAAGGTTTATGTCCAATTGTCAAAGAGCATTGTAGCTCTGAGCTCATCTGATATGTGTCCAACTGTAGATGAAGTATATTGTAGTCACAGGACACTTTGTCACACCTCATTTAAAATATCTTTGTACAGATTCTATTTTGTTAACAATACAAACCCATTCTTTTTTAATGGAGTGTAGTAAAACAAGTGTAGTTGGCACTACATCCAACTAAACACATTCAACCAGGAAAGAACAAAGTCATTTAGGAAAAAATGTGATTGTTTGTTACTTTCCAATTATTTAGCATTACAATAGCCTCATTCAGTCCACCTAAAGTACTAGCATCATGAAACCTAGATTTCACAATGGCCAGTAAAACCTCTCTACTAGAACAAGAAGTGTTTTCAGTAACTGTTTGCTGTTCAGTTGATGACAACATCAATAAGCACTAAAATCTTCAATGTTATTGAGGGAAGAACATTGGCTGGAGTCGGTGTCGAACATGTCGTGCCTCCTTCATCTATTCTGAACTGTTCTGTGACCATCTTGTTTTACACAAAGGATCAAACAGGTGCTTCAAACTGGTTGTATGTGAGAGGGATCTGACATTTAAACAAGAACTCAAATCCAAAATATTCTTAAGTTAAAACTCTCACATTAAAGTTACTCTAAAATAACAAATCTTGTATTTGATAAGGATGATTTAATATAGTTTAGCTGCTCTTAGAGGTTCTTTAGAAAAATCTTAGTGAAGCCTGAATTAATTGAAATAAAAGCAAAGGCAGAAAACATGCCAGTGGTCACTATATTAAACAACTCAACACTAACCCAATAAATATAACACAATAAAATGCACTTAAACATCAGCTAAACTCTTCATTTATGCATCCAAACTGAAGCCTTTGTTCTATGAGGCATTGTACGATTTCACATTGGCATATACTGTTCATTAACACTTTTCTATCTTATGTGGTTGAATAAACACAAACTTTGACATTCTCAGACTCGTTTACAGTTACATTCAGAGTGATGTTTTCACAGTCTATTCTTTACGTGCATTTAAGAACGTGACGCGCGGTGACTATTGCTTGAGTGCTGGCCTCGCACTGATGACATCACAGAAGGGTCCTGTGGTTCGCCAGCCTCTCTTATCCAGACAGAGGCAGAGGAGAGACAGTCCATCTCTCCACCGAATCTCCCTGGGAAACGGTGTCCCGACTCAAGATGCCGCACGAGTTTTACCGCATCTTGTAGTCATGAGAGATGGCTGCGTCACAGAGCTGCCCTTTAAAATCCAGCTCGAAGGTGAAGTCCAAGTCACGCTGAAAGAAATCAAGTTCTTTTTTTGTCATTTTATTTCTTTGAAATCTGCCTCCTACTTGTTTATAAACCAGTGGTTTTCAACAAGGAGGGCAAGAACCACTAGAGGGCACACTTCCAAGATGGCTTAAAATGATTTCAAATAAGACAAAGAAAGTTCAAAAATAAGCTAAAACAGCTCAAATTTATTTTGATTTGTTATACAAGGGAATTTAAAGTATGATTTCTAGACCTGAGAAAGCCATGGAAGTTAATAAAAAGTTGTGGAAAATTTGTATTAAATATTTTATTGGGTAGAAATTGCTATTTGTGAGTAAAATATCATTTTTAAAACTCACTGACAATAAAAAGTGTAAACCCTGGAGAACATTCAGTTATTGAAAATTAAGGAATTCTGGAATTCAATTATTTTATTTGTTGTAATATATTGCTACTAGTGCTGTCAAATCTGTTAATCGCGATTAATCGCATCTAACATAAAAGTTTGTTTACATATATGTGTGTGTAAATATATTTATATATGTCTGTGTGTATATACTGTGTATATACACACATGTTTGACACAGACATATATATATATAAATATAATAATATAGGCCTACTGTATATACACACACATATATTACGTAACCACAAACGTTTATGTTAGATGCGATTAATCGTGATTAACAGATTTACACTTATTGCTACTCCTAGTTTCTGTAAATAAGTTTGGAAATGAGAAGCTTTGTTATAACAGCAGAGGTAGGCCTACCAGGAATATCTTAGGTGGGCATTCAAATATTATCTTGCAGTCAAAAATGTTGCGAGCCACTGTTCTAAACGTTCGATTTCTCTCCATCTCCATTTCCCACCCCCACACACACTTCCAGCCTCACACCTGGTTATTCTCGTTGGGCTTGACGGTGATGCTTCCCAGGATTTCTTCTCCTCTCCGCACCGTTAAGTAATCCTCCAGATAAAACACTGTTTGCTTCCAGTGAGTGCTGGGAGCGTCAGGGGCTGGAAGGGAATGTACAATGGCTCGGTTAGTACTGGATTTATTTGTAAGAGATAATTGGGCACAGAATAAGAGAAGGCTGAACCTGTAGAAAAGCCCGTCTTCTTGTGACACTTGGTGAACTCAATGTTGAAGTACGTGATGAGAGCGTGAACATAGTCATTCCTCTGAATCTGCAGACAGAAGGCCGAGGTGAACGCCAGGTCCTCCGGCTTCACCGTGTAGATGTCCACCTCCTGAAAGCCATATGTCCCGTCTCACACTTAGAGATTATGTTTAAATAGAGATTATGATTGGCCCGCATACTTGCACTAACAAAGTCCTTTGATGCAGTGGCGGAGCCAGGATTTTTTCATAGGGGTGGCCAGGCAAGGGCCAGCGAACAGTCTGGGGTGGCATATAAATCTTAATTATTTTAACATAAAAATTAGTTTAAATAATGTATTGGACTGTTTTAGTGCCTTCCTACACAACTGAATACAGTTCATTTGTACTTAATTGTAATTGAGATAGTAGTGAAGGAATCATGGAATACTGAGTGAATTTGATCTTTTTTTTATTATTATTAGCTACTTACTACCTCCAGGCATATTAATAAAGAGTACACACACTATAGCTAAAGTTCAACTTGCTCAGTTAGCTTGGTTCTGGTTCTCAAAACCCCCAACATTGTTGCACCTTCATGGATGAGACATGCAGATAACTACTGTAGTTCGAAGATTATTTAACCTTCATTGAATTTTATATAATCAATTAACTCTTCAACTTTCTATATTAGTTGTCAAAATAAAGAATCTAATCCGTTCTATCATACCTAAATTAAAAAGGGGGGAAAACATCTCTTTTGAATCTATGTCCAAGAATGTGAACAAGGCGGAAGTAAACAGCACATAAATACCAGAATGTAAAATTAGTTATTTTATGTATTTAAAAATGATAATTTTTTGTTTTGCCTTTACAAATTAACGCAAAATTACCGCCTATCTTCTAGTAGCTTACAAATGCACAGTGCTCACATTTATTTGAACATTAAAAAAAAATCACATAGCCTGTCAGTTTGTGCCTTAAATTGTGATTTCACATGGCAGAATATTTTAGTCGAGACATATGTGACGCATATATAACAAATACATGCATGCATGCAGTTTTGACACAGATTTGATCGCCTTTTTGATTATTTCATGAGTTAGCTAATTGACGACAGAATTACTGCTACAGCACGCCACATTGCGCGTGATGTGCAAGTACAGTACAACGGCTGTCAGGACAGGAAAGTTAGTTTTACTGACATTTGTTGACCTTACAACATCTCATCTTACCACAGTTACTGATTCAGGACAACGCGCTTTTCTCCGCATCTGACAGAAGTGTCACAAGCTTTCACACAGATCTTTCATAATAAAAGTAGAAAGAGAATTACGTTGTTGTTTCTTTGACTGGACATATGCGACTCACTCAAAACGGTCTCGCAACCCACCAGTTGAGAAACATCGAATCTATATTTACTATGCTCCGATCACTGCTCAAGCTCATTCGGTACCCGTACATCTCCGCACTCGTTTGACTTGCGCCTGGCGCTGAGGTGAAGTTGGAGTGCGCGTCTGAAAAGTCTCACGTTTTTTGTGGTCTTAAAGCGACGGTTCTGTGTTTTAAAAACAAAATTCTTGTGTTAAAATTAGAGCGAGACAGAAACAGCAGTTGTGAGAGGGGTGGCCAAAGGGGTGGCCAAGCTTAAGCCAAGGGTGGCCATGGCCACCCCTGGCCACCCCCTGGCTCCGCCACTGCTTTGATGATCTGCCATCTGTGATCTAAGCTTGAAGTGTGATGTGGTTTATGTCATATAGTCTTAACCCATACATCATCACAACAGATCCAGTTTCAGGCTATATTGCTTGGCTGTGGCTTTACTGTTGCCTGTATAAGTAGAGAAGTTGGCACAAGTAACAGCCTCGGTGAACCAAGATCCTCTTACTCTTTGTGTGAACAACAGATCAGTGAAGCATTGAGCCTTTCATTTGTTCAATTCAGCCTTTCATTTAATAAACCTCACAAAGAGGCCGAAATCATTCTCCTCTTCAAAGAGTTTGATCCCGCAGGTGATTCAGAGGCACATTGAAAGCACAGCCTTTTCTTTCTTTTCTTTCTTTCTTGCTTTCTTTCTTTCTTTTTTTCTTTCTTGCTTGCTTTCTTGCTTTCTAGCTCTCTCTGTCCCTTACATTGTCTCTTTTCTTTTGACATTCTTGACATTCAATATGTCTTTACTGACAAAAGGACCATAAACTCTTTTTTCTTTTTTGCTGAAGCCTAATGCTCATAGATCTCATTTAAATCTCCCGAACTCTAAAACAGCAACCAGTTCTCTCTCACTTAAGTTTCATCTTTATACAGTCATCTTAAGACTAGTTATGGGTATGGAAATATAGATAAGCATAGCTAAAATACTTTGAGAGTTAATACATTTAGAATTAATATCTCATTTTGATAATTATTATTTGTATTATATTATCAATTTAATCGCATTCCTGTTTAGGTGAAACAACCTTACGTAGTAAAGAAATCTTTCCTACTGTATGGGATAATACACTTTTATTAAGGGATAATTCTATATTTATAAACAAGGCTTCAAATGACCTACACAATGATATTACTAGCATTATATTTCGTGAGGACTTATTTCTGCCCTGCTAATTTAAATGAATGATTGGTGTTTGCGTGTTGAGATGAACACACGTTACCACGCTGTCATCAGGCGGCACGTTACTGTGAATTATTATGTTATGTAACACCCCCACTACATGTCTTCCATAGTAGCCTATCGCACGGGTCCATCAGTATGATTCAAATCTGATCTTGCTCACATATACATACAGAGAGAGGCGAGCACATACTCGTACCTTAACAAGGCAGGTGTTGGTCACGACTTGTTTAGGGTCTACTATGTCCACCAGGGGCTCCATCATAGCAACGTTACGAATGCACGTCATGTCAAAACCATAGACGTTCTCCCACCCTGCAACCACAGAGAAAATATATTTTAAGACATTTTAAAACTCGCTTGTGTCTGAAAAGTAGAAAATCTGTGTGGCTGTGTCTGGGAGTCTTCGTTTGGCCCTAAAATAGACTTCTGCCTCCTCTGTGTCTGGCAGCATTTGATTACATCCCATCACATGAGTGTTAGGCCGAGGAGAATCTCATACTTTCATCCAAAACATGAAGGAGGGAGTCAAAGGGAAGGAGAAAAAGCAAACGTTTTGCTGCGGGGGAGTAATGGAGCTCAACAGGAATTTTAAGCTAAATAAATGTGAGGAAACCAAAGAGATACAGTATAAAAGGTCATTTAATACAGGACATGTAGTTGCCTCATGGCTGTGTGTGTGCGTGTGTGTGTGTGTGTGTGTGTTTGCGCTCACAGGGGATTTTGAAGTCTTTGTACTGTCGATCCTCAATGGCAACCACATACAATGTCGCTCTGTCTGGAAACATGAAACCGCCAGGTTTCTGAAAAATGACAGGAAAGAAAATCTTCAGAAATCACCTATGAAAATGTATGAGTTGGTGACGGATGTCCAACTTATTTTTTTTTGTAAGTTCAAGTTTTGTTATTAATAGTAGAAGTATACATAATAGGTCATAAAACACCATAATAATATTAACCACAATAATATAATATACTATAATTATCTAAATTATATAATAATATATCATTATTATCTAAAATATTTTAAATACTTTAATATAAATTTAATATAAATATTTAAATCATATCAGGTCAAAAGATAACTTTAAATATAATATAATAGTTTTAATAATTATTTATATAATTTTTTTTTTTATGTAATTATTATCTAAAGTAGACACTGCTGAAACTGTTTGAAATTTAAACTCAACTACCCTCATATAACATTTTAATTTACAAAAATGCATTCCTGGCATATGCGTGATTATATTCCAATTATTCCAGTGACTTCACATCTTTCTTTCTTTCTTTTCCTTCCTGTTCAGTGCACCATAAAAATAACTCTAGGGTGAAACAATGTACTGGCACCAACACAATGGTTCTATAAAAATCTCTAACAAGCCACTTGTCCTCTGGACCAAATTGTCATTCAGTGGTAGACATTCATCAGCAGCCCAATGACAAGCCACTCATTCCCATTTATAAATGATCATTTTCAGCATGGACACACGTTTCACATTCTAATTAGTCAAATAACCTTGGCCTTGAGACAGCCAACACACACAGACAAACACACACTGACCAGCCATTTGTCCCTGGCGTAGATGACAGTATTGAGCATAGACTCATAGAAAAGACAGTAGCCCATCCACTCTGAAATGATGATGTCCACCTGATCCACGGGCAGTTCAGTCTCCTCCACCTTCCCTTTAATGATCGTAATTACTGCAAGATGCACAAAAAATAGAGAAGAGACAGTGAGGCTTGAATTTAGCTTATTTTATACTATGTAATGTACAATTAAATATATTATTTGTATATAGAGAGAGAGAGAGCGAGAGATTTTGTTCTAAATAAATATATTTATAACAATAAAATTAAAAAATATTACAATTCCTGATGGATAAAATCAAGTCTCACCTGACTTTTTTGTTTTGTTTCATTCATAAATGTCACATTGCAGGAATCAAATGGGTTAAGAACCCAGCATTTACACACAAGAATTATAAGAATGTCACAAGAATGACAATATAAAGTTACATTTGATTGACTGGTTTCTTCATGGTTATCTCTCCCTCCCTCTTCTTTTCTCTCATCATCTCCATTATTCCCATTTTGCAAAAGGCAGTTTGCCAATCTCCAATTTCCATGTGTGTGACTCCTCTCTCACACTGACTCATGGCTTCTCGCCCGCCCGCCGCTCTCCAGTGTTAATGAGAGCTGCTGTGGACAACTAAACAACAACTTCTGCCATCACACCACAAGTGGAGAGTGTCAGCTACAGGAAGTGACTATGCTACTTCCTGTGTCGTGGAACTCCACTTGCCTAGAGGAAAATGTATGACTCTTCTATTCCACACAAGAATGAAGATCAGACCGAAACACTGTGCTGTGTCCAAACAGGAATGAGCAGCAGGATGTCTTACCATTGTCCAGGTGATTTGATTTGATGATTTTTTCGGAATATACTGGAGCATTCAATCTACAAAACAAAATGAAAATTAGCTTAATTATATTCGCATATTTAGCAAGAACCGTATTAGAGGTATATGCTAGCTGACTCAAGCCCGACGGAAGCATTTTTTATGCATAACTTCAAGTTTTATTGGAATGGGGTTTGTATTTAGAGAAAAAAAAAGAATGTAATTATAAAGTAATTGTTATATATATTTTTGGTGAAATTTCCTGTTTGTATAACTCCGCTTGTCTTTGTTTGGCCGTTCCAATGTCACTAGTTGCATTGCTTTGCCAGGAGTAAGTGGTGAAAAGTGACTGCCTTAATGAGTGAATCAATGATTCATTCATTCAACCGATTCGTTCAAAAACGTATTCATACTGAAATCATCTTAGGTTATTTAAACATAATCTCACTTGAGCAGGTGATTTTGGCCACTTCATCATTATTACAGTAGTTCTGTCCCCAGGGTAAAGACGGACACTGCCACAGATTTGAATCATGTTTTCGACATTTCACTTCATCCAGCCAGTTACGAGCTGATTCCAGTCTTGGTATAGAATCAGACAAAACACCAGATCTTCCACAGTTCAGCTCTTGACAGATCAGACTCACTGTGTCTCTGTTCATCTGGTTCCAGCACACATTTCCCCAGGATCCATTGTAGAAAACCTCCACATTCCCTTCACAGCCCTCAGTTAACCTGATCTCTTTAAACTCTAGATGGAAAAATATATGCTTTATAAATATTGGAATTGAGGTTGTGCTAATCCTTAAATATCACCAAAATAACTAGTTAATACAAGGCTAATGCATGCTGCTAGCAGTGGTAGCATCTGAAAAAGATACTTAATTATATATTTGTATAATATATTATGAATATTATGCACTACTTGATTCTGCTTGGTCAATAAAAAAATATTTAAAAAGTAGCGGCATCCATGTCTATCAGACCATCGATACAGTAAGATGGTCTTTGTTGTAAAATATGACCCATCCACTCCTGATGATCCTGGTGTTTATTTAGCAAAAATGACCAGCTGTACATTATTCCTTTAAACATTTTAAATTGTATATTTAAAAATCAATCGCATTAATTTACTGTTCACCTGAGCACACGACTCCTACATCCTCCTTGTGTTGACAGTCATGTTTCCCCCAGCCTGGAGAAGAGCAGTTCCACAGGGACGTCTCATTCCCCTCACACTCCACCTCATCCAGCCATATGGGTCCAGAACCAGGACCAAACCAGGCTGGTACCTGCTGGTTACTGAGGGCCACTCCACACTGCAGCTGTCTGCACACCACATGGGCATCTTTAATATCCCAGGAGTCATCACACACTGTCCCCCATGAGCTGCTGTGAAAAACCTCCAGCCTCCCTGCACAGTCTCCCCCAGAACCCACCAGCCTGATGGACCCGCGACCTGATATTCAGAGAGAGAAAAACACATTATTGATCACCAACAACTAAAGTATCTGCCCAGATGTTGTTGTTCTCACCAAGGCAGGTGATTGACAGCTGTTGTGTGGAGCTGCAGTTGAGAGTTTGTGGAGAGCTGCAGTTCCCCAGATGAGCTTCACTCTCTGGAGAGGGTATTTATTTGTCATTCAGTATTTATCTAAAATACATACTATTTTATACATTTTACATTAATACATTTTAATCTGAAACAATGACTTCATCACGGTGTGAATTTGCTCACCAGAGCAGACGACTCCAACATCTCGCCCATGAGAACATTCAGCTCGACTCCATGAAGAGATTGAACATTCTGAGAGTTTTGTTTCATTCCCGTCACAATCAAACACATCCGCCCAGATTTCACCACTTCCCTCTCCAAACCAGTCTGATCCCACAACAGACACAGCAATCCCACAATTCAGCTGTCTACAGAGGACACTGGCAGCTCTCATATCCCAGCATGCATCACACACTGAGCCCCATTCATTGAGGAACCGAAGCTCCACTCTTCCAGAACAAGAGTCTGAGCCGTTTACCAGTCTGAGATCTGTGTAACCTGAATAAAGAACAGAGAAGTTAAAATAGTGTATAATGCAGCTGACAAAGAAGAATGAAGAGAGACAGAATATTGATAATTTACCAGAACAGATCAGGCCCACATTATTGTCACTGTTGCAGTTGTGTTTCTGTGATGATGATATTGAACAGAATGATATATGAGACTCATCTCCTCTGCACTGAATCTCTTGTGTCCACATCTGAGCGTCTCCTTTGCCGAAAGCATCTTCTCCCAGCACCTGTACAGGAGCCCCACAGTCCAGCTCTCTACACACAACCTCTGCATCCTGCTGGTCAAAGGCAGCGTCACACACTGTGTACCAGGTGTTCCCATGATTCACCTCTAATCTCCCAGAACACAGGTGAGACCCATCAGAAAGTCTGGGTTGTTTATGATCTGTTTGTATTAAATAAAACCATACAAAATGGATTTATTTAGAGTGGTAGGTTTAAGAGTTTGTTTATGAATAACAACATTAAGTTTTAAATAAATAACATGTATATTATGCCAATTAGTAGGAAAATGGCTAAATAAATATCGCAGGTTAGACACTGAAGCCCAGCCGCCTATAGAAACATCTCCACTCTCCCAGAACACAGGTGAGACCCGTACACAAGCTTGACCTTCCGTAGTTTATTGTTTCTGAATATATTTACACAATAAGACCATCTGTTACTATGATTATGATATGGACATAAAATAATATCCTTTCATTAATAATAGATTTTATAAATAGATACAATTGCGTTGTTAAGACAATAAAATATACTATTCATTAATTAGCATGCTTATGATTTGCTCTGACAAAAAAAATTACATTAAATTATTTTCAATTGCTTATAAGATGTTTATCAATGAAAGTCTGATCAGTGATGCATTAACAGAGTGATGTATGGAGCCGCTCACCTGTGCATCTGACTCCAGCATCTTCATGATGACCACAGTCACTAACACCCCATCCTCTTGATCTGCAGTTCTTCAGTGTTGACTCTGATCCACTACAGCGCACATTATCCATCAAGATTGATCCTGATCCTGGTCCAAAGCGAGCATTACGCACAGCCTCTACAGCCTCTCCACATCCCATCTCTCTACACACCACTCCAGCATCAGTCATATCCCAGTAATAATCACACACTGTTCCCCACTGACCATCATGATGAACCTCCACTCTACCAGCACAGGGACTGTTCCCACCAACTAACCTCACAGTCTCAAAATCTGTACATGAAAGAGAGAGAATGGGATCGAATCATCCAAAGTCAAGAAACATAAGATGTAAAAAGTTGGTAAATATAAATATAATATATTGAAACTGGGGATGATTGAATAAAAAATTGGTTGCCAGTAAAAGCTCAAACCATTTGTAAAATGTAATTGATAATTAATGATATAGTGTCACAAGATCTTAAGTTTCTAGATATTATAATGCTTCTATTTGTAATATTCTGCTTCAGTTTCTAGTGGTCTAATGCCATCCCAGACAAACTGCTTATTTAAAAAAGTAATATTTTACATCTTACGTTTATTTTGTACTTACCAGATGTGTTTATAGTGACTATAGAGGAGAGTAAAACGAGTGTCAGAAATCCCTCCATCTTCTTCTGCTCGTCACACTGTTTGTTTGACTCTGTTTCTCCTCTGCTCCCTCACACACACACTGAAGAAACTGGCTCCTGTCAGTCCCCTAAAGAGAGAGAGACTCTCACAGCTGCCAATGACACTCACTGTTACCTTATTAGACACAACAGAGGAAATCATCAAACATAATCACTGACAAATCACAAAGCAGCATTTTTATTTTCTCCATATATATCAATAAAGTGTGAGCGCTGATGAGCGGGACTCCTCCTCCACCATGAAAAGACACTTCACTGAGGATAGACTCATATAGTTGATAAGTCAGGATGGAGATAAGACTGGTGACTGATTTTTGTAAGTCTAATCACTTCAACACTTGTAACTTAGTAGAAAACTTAGTAGAAGTAGCATTTTTTTTCATGAATTATTTTAATAAATGTAACATTTTAATCTCATTGTTTCTGGATAAATTATGCATAATATTATACTATATGTGGAATTTACTGCTTTGTTCTTTATTCTAAAAATAAAATTTTATTACACCATAGTTAAAACTATATTGTTGCTAAGCTATTCAGATGTGTTTTTATTAAATAAATTAAATATGATCTACTACATAAATAGGTAAACCTATTTTAAAAAAAAACAGCAATGAATGTGCGTGTAATGCTGTATTTGTCCAGCAGATAGCAGCAAAACTCTTATTGTAAAGACTCTAGTGTTCCACATGAGGGAGAGTGAACGTATTTCAGGACGGCAATCAATGGTTTTTCTTAAACTTTAGCAACATTATAAGTAACTTGTTTCATGTAGTAGAGCTCATTTCACTGCACATTGATTTTACACTTGATCTGCTGTTGGGCCATTCCACCGAATGGGTGACATTTGCTTGTTGTATAACTTCAAAATTAAACTTTATTTTTAAATATTTTTTTCCAACAATAGTTCAACAACTATTCAAAATGTGTATTGGTCAATCTCAGGTAACTTTATTTTTTTTTACAAGGTTTCTAAGCAGAAAATAGACGCATGTTTCTCAGTCACGTTACCGAAACTTACGTGCCATTTTAAAAGCATGTTTAAAGCATGTCAGTTAATTCCTTTGTTTCCCCCGTAGTTAAGTGTTTATTTTTAAGACATTGTTGGTTGTTTGTTCAAATAACTGATATTTGTGACAAAAAAGGTGTATTTTAATAAAAAACATAAAGCGATTTTTTCATTTGAAAGAAGACCAAAAAGCCTCAAGTTTATAAATTTTTTAAAATAATTTAATTTATTAAACAATTCTATAAATGATGGACCAAACAAAACTGACAAAAACAGTGGTTTACCTTTATTTATTTATTTTAGAAAAAAAAAAGAGTAACAGGAATGAACACTTGGTATTAGGAATGAACACGGGTAACAATGAGTGTCCATATGTGTGTGCATGTGTATGAGAGAGAGTGTACATGACTGTGTGTGCATGAGATTTCTGTGTTGAAGTGATGTAGGTACTCTGTCTGTGCCAGTAATACTTCACAGTGAAGGAAAGAGAAAGAAGGAGAGAGAGGAGAAGAGAGTGAGGGAGAGAGAGACAAAAAGAGGGAAAAGAGAGGGTTTCTGTGTGTTTCGCTCTTTCCCTTGCAGGATGTCATGGGTGGGTGTTTCTGGCACCTAGTATGGGTTCTCTCAATCTTCTACAAAATATAAGAAAGACGAAGACAAAAAGTTTAAGTCACTTCGTGGTGGACTGGTTCCCTGAAGCATGGTATTCACAATGTAAAACTAATACTAATGTCTAATTTAAGTAATTGCAACCTTAAAACTCATAATTCAGGTGAATAGTATATCAACTAATATTTACAATATTAAATCAACAAAACAGAGGACTCTACTCATTCATAAATGAGTACATGACAAATACATGACATATGGCCACATAGCATTCATGCTAATAGAATGAGGACACTGAGCAAATTCTAGTGACTTACCAAAAGTTTATATTTTTTAAATAAATAAATAACATCTAATAAACAATTTAGGTAACAGGACAGTAGCCTACGCTGAGATAGACCTTCTCAGTAATATTTACAATTTATTCAAATATACAGAAATTAAAATAGGAGGACTTACGTATAGTCTTCCAATTGCCTTCAGAAGATCCTTCCTGTTGAAAAATGTGTCTTGTGACATGTTCCAAGTTTTTCAGAGGGGGGAATATGTTAGGGTGAAAAGTGAGTGAAAACCTGGGGACACGACTAAAATGTGTATTTTATCTAAGATATTAGATTAAATATTTTTTTCTCATAAAAAAACAAACATTTTAAAGGTGCTCTACGTAACTTTTAGCGGCCTCTAGTGGTGATGTTTCAGATTGCAACCAAATTTTACAAGAGCGCTCGTGCTCGAACTCATAGACAATACCGTCTATTACGCAAATATCTCGGCGAATACTTGACGGATTCGGCGAGCACCGAGCTCGTTGGGACCATCTAGTCGAGCTGAAAAGATCCATATAAGTTCCATAGTTTTTGGTGGTGTTTTCGCGGAGATATTAGCAGAAAACCATCGGGCGCGCTGCAAAATTGCGGACGCCGGTGACGTCACAATCTCAGGAGAAAATCGCTCGTATCTCTGGAACGCAAAGACCCAGAGAGCTCAAATTCGGGGGAGGAGGTCCCAGGGGAACCCTTGCCCGAACGCTAGAGTGGCGGGCCTCGGGGATGCCCCCTACCGGATCGCCGTTTGCTGGGACCCCCGATTTCAAACGGCTATAACTCGGGGAGCCGGGCGAGTTGGACCTCGGGGGTGGGCTCGTTCGAAAGGCCCCGTCCAGCACTACGAACGATTAGAGTCTTGGGAATATTTATCAAAGATTGACTGAGATATAAGCCGAAAAACGTGCGCCTTTAACCGGACGTAACTCCCTGACCGTCTACAATAGACTGTATATAAGGAGAGAGGCTCGGGAGCGCGCATGCACGTCACATCCGTTGGATTTCGCGGTAAATCCGAGCCGGAGACTTCACATAGAAATAGGAATACTGGCCTTCAGAGGTAATAGCAAAACTCGACAAGTGGATCATTTTAATGTGTGATTACAACCCCTTCACACACAGGCAATAAAAAAGGATTCATTTTAGTAGAAAAGTTACATAGAGCACCTTTAAGCATAAATTAGATATAAAGTCACACAACAATTCGACAAAAATAAGATTTCTGAAGGATTTTAATCATTAGGCCTACCCTATATTGCATGGTAAAGTTTGTGAGGACATGCAAAAAATGCTATTGCTATTTTATGTATGTTTTTAATTATACATTTTAAATGTGCCGTTATAGCTTAATGTGCACTTTGCTTAATAATAAAATGTATTTTAGAGTTTATTTTCATGCATTTTATAATGTCCTGGGGACAAAAATGTCACCCATTTGGGGGAATGGCTCAATAGTCTATGACAGATTGTAGGCCTATTCACTCTCTAGCGGGATTTAAATGTTTTTTGACTGACAATCAGTGGTGGAAAGAATACTGAAAAAGCATACTCAAGTAAAAGTACTGTTACTTGTCAAAAAATGAGTAGAGTAAAAGTACATGACACGCATGAATGAAGGTTGAATGAAGGTTGAGTACCAGCAGGGGGCAATAATTTCCTCAATGCCAACAACTCTCCACGGACCAAATAGAAGCGATATAGTGCATTCTCCAAAATTCCCGCGTCGTTCAGGTCGGTCAAAGCCATTTGTATTACGGTGCTGTCATTTAATATACGTTGCTATAGCTTAACGTTATACTTGTGTGTATGAAGACTGTGGAGCTTTTTAATCTATGGTGTTGTTAACGTTACTGTGGTCAATAACGTCAATGGAAATTGATATTAATTGGCTAATTAATTAATCACAGAAAGCTGCTGTCGATCCTGAAATATCGATACTGATGTTGTATCTATTCTAAAGGATAGATCCTCACATAAAACCAGTAATTTTATTCATTTAGAACGAATTTATTTTATTCAGAAATGATGCAATAAATCGATTATACGTGACCGTAAAGGCTTTATACGTGACCGTAAAGGCCATTACATTGTTACACACACACACACACACACTCACACACACACACACACACACACACACACATATATATATATATATATATCAATCATATAAGCTGTTCTAATAATTATGATGCTGAAAATTCAGCTTTGATCTCAGGAATAAACTACATTTTAACATATTCAAATAGAAAACAGATCGCCTATTTTAAATAATATTTCACAATTTAAATTTTTACAAAGATTTACTGTATTTTTGATCAAATAAATTAAGCATTTGTAAGCATATTAGACTTCTTTTAACATTAAACATCTTACCGACCCCACATGTAAAATTTACTATAATTATTCTAGTTTGTGCAAATACATTTAGTTTTTATTGATCGTTAAAGTTCATATACATAGTGTTATGTTCTGTAATTGATGTTAATAAATCTGTCAGAAGAAAATGTGCAAAATTGGGGGTACAACACTGTAACCCTTTAAAAACAATAACCATACACACAACTAATTACAGGTGCATCGAGGAGGACAAATCACAAAATCTTTTAGTGGTCATGAAAATGTATTCAGATTAAGCATATTAATGATGCATTCACCTCATTTATCACGACACAATGCTTCTGTTCATGAATGCAGTTTACATGCTGAATATGCAATAACAGCAGCATCACAGTTATCTTTATTTTGTTTCAGTTATATGTATAATATGACACATCCAGGAATCTTTGCTGCAAAATAATTAACTATGTTTTTGTTTTCCTTTGTCCAACAGCTCCTGTTTTTTTACCCACCATCCTTCCTTGTTACCTCCACCTGTCTATCTTTATAAGAAACCAACGGCTCTTTTAAGAGCCAATCCTCTATCTATCTCTCTCTCACTCTCTCTCAGTCTCAGTCTCTCACTCTCAGTCTCACTCTCAGTCTCTCTCTCTCACTCACTCTCACTCTCAGTCTCTCACTGTCAGTCTGTCTGTCTCTCTCTCTCTCTCTCTCTCTCTCTCTCTCTCTCTCTCTCTCTCTCTCTCAGTCTCTCACTGTCAGTCTGTCTCTCTCTCTCTCTCTCTCTCTCTCACTCTCAGTCTCTCACTGTCAGTCTGTCTCTCTCTCTCTCTCTCTCTCTCTCTCTCTCTCTCTCACACACACACACACACGCTCTTTCTTTCTCTCTCTCTCTCCATCTCTATCTCTTTTCTAAAGCGTCACTGTCTTCAAGTAAGTATTGTTACTCTATTATTTATTTTTCTTTCACCTTATTCTCTCACTGTCCAAAACATTTTTTTTTTATTTAGTTTTTATATAGCCTATAGCCACCCTATACTATACATCCTTAATACTTTTTGTCTGACTGTGTTTTTATCTTCCAGTATAGTATCTTTGAAATGGCTGCTCAGCAAGACAGAGGGAGAGCAGATGATGCTATTTTCCTTGCAGACATGTTCCTTGCTCAAACCAAAGTGAGTATTTTTTGAGACAATCCAGTATTGGTAATAATACTTAAGAGTGGGAATTAGAGTGCAAAATTTGAATGAACTGCTCAAGATTTGGCTGTATTTCAGTTTTATCATAAACTGCTCACTTTCTGTCATGCAAGGCAAAGCAAGCGAAGGACAAAGCAACATCTGCTAAAGAAGGTAATAAATTTAATGTCCGATGGGTGGAGAGAGATGCTAAAGGACGTCCACTGCTAAAAAGAAGCAGAAGTGGAGAGACACGAAAACGTGCTTCAGCTACAGGTAGTCCATGTCTTCCAAGATTATTTGTGATTACCCACCACAGAATGCTTCTTAACTAAGTATAACTGTGCCCATTGTATACCGAATTCAGCTTGCTATTTGTTTGTTAGGTTAATAGGATTTCTGTTTCCGGATTTTAATAATTTTCCTTTAAATACTGTATGTTAAACTGTGCCATCAGAAACACCACATGGTGGATGTTTTACTTATGTTATTGACTTCACTGTAATGCTTAGCAATTCCAAAGAAATTAAGTAGAAGTGAAGCATCAGTGTCAGGTTCATGCTTCTAACAGTTCAAGATTATGAGGAAAAAAACTTTTAGAGTTTAAAGGAATTGTCAGACATATCAATCAACCTATTATAGCCTTAAGTCACTATATGAACACTGTATTGTATGCTTGTAAGACATGAACATTGTTATCTCTTTCCTTTCTATCTATCTTTTCAGTTGTTTCTGTGGTTGGCAGTGAGGACGCTACACCTTTCGAGTCATCTGAGGAGGTTCCCACAGTTACCCAATCAAACTGCTCTCAACACTTATTCGGTAAGATGACACCTGACCTTACTGTAATTAAGCAATTTAGCAATAAGCGTGAAAGGAATTATTATTTTCTTATTTCTGTCTTTTAGACATTGAGATGCAGAAACTGCAGGATATTCTGACCTCAGCAGATGTTCAAGGCACCAACAAGTCCCCTTCAACATCCACATCATGGTGCTTGCGCCAATCTGTAGCCCAAGATGAGTGGCGGAAAGCAAGGTCTTATCACATCAACTGCTTGCTGTCCTGCAATATGGCTTCAGAAAAGAACTGCAGCCACTGCACATCTCCTGCCGTCATTCGCTGCAGAGACTGCATGCCACAAGAGTGGCTGTGCATGGATTGTGACACACACATTCACAAAAAACTCACCCTCCATAACAGGGAGTCCTGCATTGAGGGAATTTACAAGCCCATTGAGCCAACAGTGTGCTGTGTAAAAAAAGATGGCAAATATACACTGGTCAATCAAGGTAGTGTTTTGAACCTTTTTGGTAAAGTGATTTTTTGGTGACGTTTTTTTTTTTTTTTTTTTTTTTTATTATGTTAATTGTACATATTTTTAATGATTTCTCTCAAATTATTTCTCTTCTCTTTTCAGTATGTTTATTGCCTACAGTGAGACCTGTCCAGTTATGCACTTGCGACCCTTCAAACTTCACAGAATCAGCTGGCAGAGCAATCATTTTGGTTTGCATAAATGGTAGGAACTATGGTTTTATATTTAAAATTTGTTCTTGTCCCTTTGTGTGTTAGAATGTTCTACTTTTTTATTTTAGGTCGGTATGACTTGCACTTGCCAAACTTGCTGTGCAGATTATGTCTGGCTCATTGGACACCTGACATGAGCGACCTAATAAGAAGTGGGTACTGGCCAGCATCTGTGAATGCTGACACGCTGTTTTCAGTCGATGTCTTCACCACATTTGAAGAAATGAAAACTGTTGCACCAGGATTATCGAGACAAGGTTTTTTGCGGATGTTGGAGAGGAGGACTTGTCTCTTTGGAAGGGTAAGATCAGTGTGGATCAAAGTTGCCTTAAGTAGAGATGGGAGAATATTAGTGTAGCTATTTCATTTTACTCTTTACTAATCGCATGTACAGGCTGGGAAAATACATGGAGACGTATTTCAAAGAAGCTTCATGGAATACACATTCTGCCAGTACCAGTGTGAAGAAATGGCCAGTGTAGATCACTTCACCTGCCCGGCTTGTACACCCAACATGCTCGCTCTTTGTGCAGATGGCAACAGAAAAGTGTACCGATTTCGGCAGTCAAAAGGGTTAGTTGTTTTAAACTTGTAATCATTTTACTTAATGTAAAATTAACAGAACATATAATGTCTTACACTGAACATATTTTTTTTCTTATTCTATTAAGGTCAGAGGAACCCTATTTTGATGGCACCTTCATTGCCAAGGACACTGATGTACACCATTTTGTTGATGAGATCAGGAGTAAAATGAAAAGTGTTAGTTTTTGCTCCTATGATTTAAATCCAAAATTTGAAATGTATGATTGTTGCTTTATTAAATAGATATTGTATCCCTAGCATGGTGCACTCTTTTAAGCAATCTTGTGTTGATGTTTGAAATTAAACATGGTATGTGTGGTGGCATCCAAAATGGCTAGTTTAGGAGCTCATTCATTATGTAATAGCAGATCTCATCTTGTCAACATAATGACCTTTTCTGTACAAAAATGTTACACTTACATTGATGTAATAGTTGGATTGTTTTATACTCTATACACCTGTATAATGTTATTCACAGTGATTGTTGATACTTTTGGAATGAACCATTTACTGTACATGGCACTAGATTAAATACTTTACAGAAATGATTGATCAATACCCATAGTTGAGTCTTAAGTGTAGTATTTCCTGTTGTTATTGCTGCCGTTACCTTGCCAACAAAGTGAATTTACCATGGCATTACTTCAGGTAACTATAAAACTATGTTGTACATGCATGCAAACTAGTTCATTTTGAGCTGTTGATTTGTTTGTCTCTGTCTTCTTGCAAAATAAGATATTCAATTACTATCTTACTTAATTTTTATCTTAACATTGTATGCCAGTTGTATACAGGGTATATAACTAAAAGTAATCACACAAAATAACACTTTCACTTGTTAATTGGCAAGTAGGTATAGAGTTATGTGTTGTATTAATTAATTAGTAAAATATAGCCATAAATAAGACATTTTTCATTATCCTGCTACATAACTTCACTCTGGATACAATAATTAACACTTGACAACTGGTGAATCAGCTTACAATCTTAGAGGCTATTTGCTTTAAATTATGTCTACCATTTTATACATACATATATTTATGTATTCAATGTCCTTGTGGTCTTTGTATCACATATCATGTTGTTCTTTACAAATAAAGTTTTTTTTTTATCATTATCTTCTGTATAAAAACATAAGTTGAAAATATTTAACCTAAAGAAAACGAATAGAATAGGTAAAATGGAGAATTTCCCTAAGTGTGGGTGGTTGTGTGATGGACTGGCGACCTGTCCAGAGTTTTCCCTGCCTCTCGCCAAAATGTCAAATAATATTAAATATATATAATAAAGGATAACATATTTTTAAAACATTTGTTGGCAATGTCAGTTATTTATATTATGTGTGTGTGTGTGTGTGTGTGTGTGTGTGTGTGTGTGTGTTTGTTTTTGCGCACCCTTCTTCCGTTTCTGTTAGACAGGTTTCTGTGATCAGGCTACGCGCCTGCGCGAACCTATGGCGCCAACACGGTTACCCTAGCAACTAGCATAAATCTCCCATACAAGCAATTTTGGCTAATAATAATAACCATAATACGATGTTTTTGGTCTGAATTCATACAACACGTATTATGCTTTTGCAGTAGCATGTCTGTTAGGAAGCTACTTTATACGATAGTTCTTTTTGAAACCCTACTTACTTGCAACCCTATTTTGCCAACCGGAAGAACTACATATTTAACGGGCTGTCTATCACGTTGCAATCTGTTGCAACAGGGAATTGTAGTTTTGTTTTTGTAAATTGCTAAAACATGTAAATGGATGTCTGGAGTATAAAACTAAGAGTGCACTCATGGGTATGGGCGTATGTGAAACACAAAGGTTTGGTCAGAATTTGGAATTATAAATGATAACTAGGTGAGATTACATTTTTACCACTTTTGGTGATGCCCCCTATTGGTGATCGCACCAACTGGTATCCCTTTTGATGGAAGAGTCCAAGAGCTTTATATAACAGTTGGTTTTATTATTTTAGCCCATTCAGTTGCTGAATTATAAGACTCACAACATGCATCAATTTCAAAGTTCAGAGGTCAATATTTCAAAGCAGGAGCCAGGTACAGCCTTCAGGTTGCAAAGCTGTTACTCGGCTGATCAAGACCTTTCCAGTGATGTGTTTGGTTTAATCATATGACAAAATTTTAATTTTCACTCTGCCCACTCAGCCCTTGTGTCATGCATGCATTTCAAAGAGACATGAGGTGGTCTAATGTATAAATGTTAATTAAAATGTATTTGTTGGTCACAGTGGCCAAATTCATGAATTAAATGTTAATTTTGACTTATTTGAATCACATATATCACTGTGGGCCTCTTGGAACGTTTCTTTTTCACAAACCTTAACCTAATAAAAAAGCTTTCAGAGTGATCTCAAATTAATGGTGTTCATTAATATGAATTAAAATACAGAGGTGAGTTGCATTAAAAAATAAATCACAGTATCATTATAGATATTCAGTGTCCATCCTCCCATACCATACTTTTATAGGTCATAATTAAGTGTTTTTATGCTGTGGTCATATGGCTAAGTGGCTGTTTAGACAATCGTCATCTAATTTACCTTACATAAATATGTCATTATATTACACTTGCTAAATCTCCAAGAGCAATACAGCAATTAGATTTATTAATTACTTTTGTGTTACTTTTTAAAACTCACACCCCCGACCACCCTATACCACAAGCAGAGCAAGACACCAAATCATGAGGTCTGATTCAGGGTCAGTTTCACAAAAAAACATATTAAAACCTGGTCCTAGACCAAAAGAAAGGAGGCAGACTGGTTGGGACAAAAGTTCAGCAGACTAGGTTGAAACCTCAGCTCACATGACATCTTTCAAAAGTCCTGTGGTGAAGTAACTGAAGTAAAGATAATTTTATTACTATAGCTGTAATGTGATTGCTAAGAATAAATGTAATTCTGTACATTACCTTGTTAATGAAAGACATTTGCAGTAGTAAAAGTAATCTATACACTGTTGGTAATAACAGTGCCATCTGAAGAGGACGAGGGATCCAGGGACAGCTCCATCCAGGACAAAGTAAAGTCACAAACTGTATGTCATAATGACACAACACATACACTCACCTAAAGGATTATTAGGAACACCATACTAATACTGTGTTTGACCCCCTTTCGCCTTCAGAACTGCCTTAATTCTACGTGGCATTGATTCAACAAGGTGCTGAAAGCATTCTTTAGAAATGTTGGCCCATATTGATAGGATAGCATCTTGCAGTTGATGGAGATTTGTGGGATGCACATCCAGGGCACGAAGCACCCGTTCCACCACATCCCAAAGATGCTCTATTGGGTTGAGATCTGGTGACTGTGGGGGCCATTTTAGACCACACCCCTAAATGCATTGAAGCAACTGCCATGTGATTGGTTGATTAGATAATTGCATTAATGAGAAATTGAACAGGTGTTCCTAATAATCCTTTAGGTGAGTGTATGTGCAATGCTTTATGAGGGCACTGACACACTTTTAAACCCATTTTATTTAACAAAACTTAATGTGACTGGTAGGCAACAGTTAACATTATTTTAAATTATGGTATGATTACACAACACATTATGTAATGTAGTTTTACATATATTTAAGACTAATGCAAAAATTGCAAGAAAGTCAATCTTTATGTAAAAAAGCTTTGTATAAAGTTGTTTAACAGGTTGCCATTTAAAATCATGGTGCTGTATGCAAAGGCATTTCCATTGTTTGATACAGAAGAAATGTGTAGGCAAAATATGTGAACAATTAATTACTGTGGATGATTGATATGTTTCAATAGCCCAACACTGACAGGACATCATGTATGATTCATAGGAGAGGCAGTATGTTTTCTATATAGAGAAAAGTTAAGGATCAAAAGCTACAAATGTTTTTATTTTTATTTTTTATAAAACTATTCTCTGAATAAATTCCCAGATACATTTTATGTTGTCTTGGATGCTCATAAAAAAGTGCTCCAAAATGGCAATGAAAGGGTCCAGTCGCAAGAAGCGTTTATTTTCACAACAGTAAGAAGAAAGAAAGGCAAACTACACACAAAAAAAGTGCTCCACAACCTGACGGGAGCACTAACAAGTGTCCATATCCGCCACCCACTCCAATGGCCACTTCTTTCCACTGTAACACAAAAAGGAAATATGCAATTAGATGTTTTGGTTCTGCAGAGGAACTGTAGACACAAAGACACACATTAAGATTCCTGTAGCTGTTTTCCAATGGCTGTGTTTTAGTGGGGTTTCTTCATTACATCACAGTTGTCTAATGTTAGTCAACTACAATGCAATGAAAGCCTTAATTGTTATTTTAAGTCAAGAAAATTCTATAATCTGTTATGTTTCTGACATGAATCACTGTTTGGTGTGCACAAGACTCCAAAGTGTTTTACATTTTTGGGTTGGGTTTACATTTATGGTAAAGTTAGGCCAACTGCTCAGTTTTTGAGACAATTCTATTTTAAAGCATAAATTGATTTTGTCTTAGTAACTCAAAAATGAGGAATGTGAATGGTTTCTAACACAGAAACCTAAAATTCTCGGGACAGCAGCATTTGTCCAAATTTCAATCTTAACCGTTCTATTTCATCAGAAACGATCTTAAAACAGGGCAAGTGTAAACAAGTGTAAAATACCGAACTAACCCCTTAAATTGCATTAGCCTTAAGGCAAAAGGTCATGTCACCTTTGGTTCTCTCTTGAAGATACAAATATATAGACTTTTACATAATGCAGGTCGTGTAGTTTGGGCATAACATCTTTATCATTATTGGTAACTGTATTTTCGGTGTGCCTGTAAAGTGTTAATGGCAAATAAGATTAAGGGAATAAAGAGAAAAAAACTAAATGAAGTGTCTTAGTAAGGTGTTGGGCCACCAAGAGCCACCATAACAACTTTTTGGACTGAAGCTGTTATAAACACCAAATAAAAGCATATATTTTGGACCATTGGAGCTCCCCAGATTTCAGAGACTTAGAGAAACTATGCCAAAGAGCATGAAACTCTTCTGGGGGCACATAGTAGCCCAACACCTTATTAAGACACTTTGTGTGGGTTATAAAAATATATTTATGAACTATATAGACAAATCTTACCTTAATCTTACCTAACATGTGTCAATAGTTTGTACATGTTAAAGGTTCTCTAAGCGATCCTGGGTGACGTCACTTCTTGTTGACGTTCGAACTATTGTCAAACAAAACGGAGGCTAGCTAGACCCTCCCTCCTCCTCATCCGCACACTAACCCCCCAAACCCCGCCCCCAAACCCTTCTTGTCGGTCATTGGCTGGAACAGTTTGTTATGTTTCGGGGAGCGGGTCGCCGCAGTTTGCTTTTGTTGCTGTTTGTGGAGCCTGGGCTGTCTACAGAGATCGCGTTTCTTTACAGTGTGTTCAGGGGACAGGCAGCCAGCGGACAGTGAGGAGATGTTTGCTGTATGTGACAAAAAATGTTTTGGCCTAAAAAACGCGTGACATCGCTTAGAGCACCTTTAAAACTAATTGGCTATGTGTTACCCATGAGAAGTTGTACATACCAGAGTTTGCATGGCTCCCACTCCACTTGCTTCCATTTTTGACCCTAAAAATAGTGAGACTTTTTCAGTTTCAAATATTTGCTTTGTTTAGCAGTTATACCACTCACCAATACTTTTTCAAGACCATTACACCAATAAAATAACATTTTGTAACCTTTGTAGTGTTTTACTGGTATTTAACCTTAATGACTTTGTATTTGGCAACCCTCTTCACGGGGTAATAACCCTGGCTCCCTGTCACTGTATGTGGGCATTCTGAAAGGAAACAAATATTACATTCACAAAGCTTAACACTACTATAAACAAGCCATTATAGAATGATAAGTGGTTATTAAGCTAGAATGGGTTGTACTTAGTTACAGTTTTGATATTGTAGTTATTATGGTACAGAAGTTGTATTGAACACTGGTAATTTACTGTAAATGTAATCAACACAAACTTTAGGGTTGGGCAGTTGTAATAAATATATTGGCAAACAAAGACAAGTTAAATCCATGGATTCAAATTAATCTCTATTGTGCTGCCTGGCAGTTGTTAATTAATTGCTTTCTCACAGCAAAGACTAACATGCTTTTGACTGTGAAAACCAGAACCAAAAGCAAAAACATGTATGTTACTTTCTGACTATGCTATTATGTTGCCAAATAATTGCCAGAAGACTGTAGCTAGGTACTACAGCTCATACTAATCAATTTTGTGGCATTCAGTCCACACTCCTATACAGAAAGCTGGACAAGCAGTACATCAACATACCTTTCCTTTTTTTCAGCCGCACTGTAGCGGGAGCAGGACAGCCTCCTTCCACAACTTCCACTGTCAAACAAGGTAATAACAACATATTTAAATGATTATGGTGTGATTTCTGCAAGTATTTGTATCTAACAAAGAGCTGTAGAATATGATGTGTAGGCACAGGACATCTCTGCAGCGCCACAATATTTAATTTAAAATAGTATTTTAACACAAATTTTGCCTTTAACAAATATTGCACCTCCTGTGGTTTGAAAATTGCAGTAGGTCATATTGCGAGTTCGATAAGATTTTGATTAGTTGTTCAGCCCTACTGTTAAATAAACATATTAATTTGGACATCGCCCAAACCTAATTGACCACAGCCACTTACAAATGCAAATACAGCCTTCATGAAGACTCACAACAATTAATATAAATCCCAATGTATGGATTACACACACTACATCAACAAACCTTTCCTTTTATTTGGCCGCACAATAGTAGGAGCAGGACAGCCTCCTTCCACAACTTCATCTGTTAAATATAGAGAAACATTTAAAATATGTAAAAAAAAATATTTTAAAAAATTTGCAAAATGTTGCATCCATGTCACCCACATGAGGAATACAATTAGGCACAGTTTATAATGAAGACTGGGCTTTATTTGTCAAAATGTTTTTCCAAGGTGAGACAGAGACCTTTAAAGAATGCTCTTTAGACACAGGCCAATTTCGAATAATACAACCAGGTGTCCTACACATTTCAAAATTGACGGATGCAACTCTCCACAAAATAAAAGGAATATTACATACATTCTGCAACATTTTCATATGATATTGCACAACGTGATATTGCAATAACGATAGTGAGTCAATATATTGTGCACTACGAATGGGAACCCAGAAACAATGTCCTAAATATGGGCAAACACAGGCATGATTGAAGTAATGACAACAGCAGCAGTTCATGGAATTTGATGAGAGGTTCTAATCCAATAATCATTTTTAAATATATATACAGTGGTGGCCAACATTATTAGAACGGTTAGATTTTTTGATGTTTTAAAAGAAGACTTCCTATCTCCAAGGCTTCATTTATTTGATCCAAAATACAGCAAAAACAGTAATATTGTGAAATATTTTTTACAATTTAAAATATCTGTTTTCTATTTGGTTATATTTTAAAATGTAATTTATTTCAGTGATCAAAGCTGAATTTTCAGCATCATTACTCCAGTCTTCAGTGTCACATGATCCTTTAGAAATCATTCTAAAATGCTGATTTGATGCTCAAGAAACATTTATATATATATATATATATATATATGCATTTGGCAGACGCTTTTATCCAAAGCGACTTACTGTGCACTTACAGGGACAATCCCCCCCGGAGTAAAGTGCCTTGCTCACAGACACACTGTGTAATTTATTATTATTATTATCAATGTTGAAAACTTTTTTTTTTACATAATAATAAATGTTTCGGGACTCTGAATTCGTTTACAGTTTCACATTACACAAAGTAAGAGTATGGTTTTGTGGGGCTTATAACTTATTTTCAATACTCTTCATATACTGTAGCTCCTTTTATGCTTACCTTTTTCAAAAGAAACTGGGGAGGCTGCTGAAGGTCCTTCTGGGGAGTGGGGTCTTTTCCCCAGGTTCTGGGATTGCTTTACCGAGGGTGCTAAAGAGGACACTGACTGTCCAATTGGGGACTTCGGTGGTCCAATAAGGGCTGCTGGAGGTCCCGTTGGAGCTGTTGGGGGATTAAGCAGGGCCACTGCTTCCTGCTGATTTGATATGACCATTGGTGGTCCTGTTGGGGGTTCAACTGGGGCTGATGAACTTTCAATTACATGTGGGGTCCAGCCTACATTGTAGAAGTACATAATTATTTAGAAAACATCGATCAACCTTTTTCACAATTTTAAGTCATTTTATAGAACAAACATCTAATCGATTAATCAAGAAAAAAAATGACAGTAAAAATAATCGTTAGTTGCAGCCGTAGTAGCAAAAAGAGATGTGTATAGACCTAACAAGTGCTGTTCTACCAAACTACTTCTTCCTAAGCTGTATTGATTTAATAGGTGAATGTTCTCAAGACATGTGATGGATGTTTTGAGATAGTCTGGTGGATGACCAATTGTGCCATTTTTTTCTACTGAAATTTTATAATTAAAATTATAGCATGGCTAATTACATTGTCTTCCAATTCAATTCAATAGAATAGAATAGAATGACACATTTATTTAGAACTTTCATATGTACTACTGTACACCCAAAGCGCTTTACAATCATACCAGGAGGTCTCCTCAACCACCACCAGTGTGCAGCATCTACTTTGGTGATGTGACGGAAGCCACCGTAAACCGGCGCCAGTGCGCTCATCACACCAGCTACTCTGCTAGGACTAGTGTCACTACCTAAAAAGTGTAGAGCCCTGATCTGCAACATCTATAATGAGCATGGATCACTAAGTTTAGGGCCAGGCACTGTTTTAGTGAAAAAAGGCAGCATATCTGCATGCGTTTATAAAATAAATTTCATTTCTTTAATCCACCATCACAGTTCAAGCTTGGTTTAGTATAAAAGCCAAATATACTGGATCGCCTGGTGTGTGCGTTCTATTTTATTTAAGATTAAAATGAAAACCAAGCAGATAAAATGAATGTTATTTTATTGGTACTTAAACGTGAGCAGCTAAATAGCTAGCTGCTTAGCTTTTAACCTCTCCCAATTAGTTTAGTTTTAGTTGTAAGCGAAAACCATCAATGATAATCTGAATGATCTATTAGTCAAGAGAAGGAAACCACAGGCTTACCTGTGAGGCTCTGACAGCATCAAATACAGGACATTTTTTAAATAAATAACAGAATATTCTTACCTTGAATAACAATATCATACATGCCCTTAATTCGTTCAAGGCATGTATGTGATGTCTCACTCAGCTGGCAGCGGGGTGCCAAAACCTCAGACACCCAATTGTTTGGCTTTTTTCCAGGCTTGGAGAGAAGTAAAACCCCCCTTAACCCCAGGGCCTGCAATTTTTCGAGCTAAAAATACAAGGACACACATACAAAATAACATATATTATTTAAAAATATATCTAGCAACATTTGGAAAACAACCTGCATAAAAACAATACAAGAAATTGCATACCAACAACACAGCTTCATCCTGTATATGAGAGGTAGTCCGATTTTTTTTTTGCATTTGAACCCAGCTCTCCCTCTTCTGATCAAATTTTTTTAGTTTCTTTTCTAGCCTCAGCTTATGTGGCTGTTCTTTCTTGCATGTGTTGCAAGTTTTGCAGGCCACATTTAGATCTGTATGGCAGACCATACAGTTTCGCCTGGTTGACCCCTGGCCTGGCATTTCTATTATAGATAAAGTAAGAGAGTGACAGATTTTGTGAAGAACTTCTTTCACACAACCAAAACAGAACAAGATTTAAATAAAAAAATGCAATACTTAGGCTACTTGAAAACACCAGGCTTCTGGAAGAGAGGAATAAAGAGAGATAGTGTGTGTGTGTGTGTGTGTGTGTGTGTGTGTGTGTGTGTGTGTGTGTGTGTGTGTGTGTGTGTGTGTGTGTGTGTGTGTGTGTGTGTGTGTGTGTGAGAGAGAGAGAGAGAGAGAGTGAGACTGAGAGCGAGAGACTGAGAGAGAGTGAGAGAGCGACTGAGAGTGAGACTGAGAGTGAGACTGAGAGTGATAGAGAGAGACTGAGAGTGAGAGAGAGAGACTGAGAGTGAGAGAGAGAGACTGAGAGTGAGTGAGAGAGAGAGACTGAGAGTGAGACTGAGAGTGAGACTGAGAGTGAGAGAGAGAGACTGAGAGTGAGAGAGAGAGACTGAGAGTGAGAGTGAGTGAGAGAGAGAGACTGAGAGTGAGACTGAGAGTGAGAGACTGAGACTGAGAGAGAGTGAGAGAGAGATAGATAGAGGATTGGCTCTTAAAAGAGCCGTTGGTTTCTTATAAAGATAGACAGGTGGAGGTAACAAGGAAGGATGGTGGGTAAAAAAACAGGAGCTGTTGGACAAAGGAAAACAAAAACATAGTTAATTATTTTGCAGCAAAGATTCCTGGATGTGTCATATTATACATATAACTGTAACAAAATAAAGATAACTGTGATGCTGCTGTTATTGCATATTCAGCATGTAAACTGCATTCATGAACAGAAGCAGTGTGTCGTGATAAATGAGGTGAATGCATCATTAATATGCTTAATCTGAATACATTTTCATGATGACCACTAAAAGATTTTGTGATTTGTCCTCCTCGATGCACCTGTAATTAGTTGTGTGTATGGTTATTGTTTTTAAAGGGTTACAGTGTTGTACCCCCAATTTTGCACATTTTCTTCTGACAGATTTATTAACATCAATTACAGAACATAACACTATGTATATGAACTTTAACGATCAATAAAAACTAAATGTATTTGCACAAACTAGAATAATTATAGTAAATTTTACATGTGGGGTCGGTAAGATGTTTAATGTTAAAAGAAGTCTAATATGCTTACAAATGCTTAATTTATTTGATCAAAAATACAGTAAATCTTTGTAAAAATTTAAATTGTGAAATATTATTTAAAATAGGCGATCTGTTTTCTATTTGAATATGTTAAAATGTAGTTTATTCCTGAGATCAAAGCTGAATTTTCAGCATCATAATTATTAGAACTGAACAGCTTATATGATTGATATATATATATATATATATGTGTGTGTGTGTGTGTGTGTGTGTGTAACAATGTAATGGCCTTTACGGTCACGTATAATCGATTTATTGCATCATTTCTGAATAAAATAAATTCGTTCTAAATGAATAAAATTACTGGTTTTATGTGAGGATCTATCCTTTAGAATAGATACAACATCAGTATCGATATTTCAGGATCGACAGCAGCTTTCTGTGATTAATTAATTAGCCAATTAATATCAATTTCCATTGACGTTATTGACCACAGTAACGTTAACAACACCATAGATTAAAAAGCTCCACAGTCTTCATACACACAAGTATAACGTTAAGCTATAGCAACGTATATTAAATGACAGCACCGTAATACAAATGGCTTTGACCGACCTGAACGACGCGGGAATTTTGGAGAATGCACTATATCGCTTCTATTTGGTCCGTGGAGAGTTGTTGGCATTGAGGAAATTATTGCCCCCTGCTGGTACTCAACCTTCATTCAACCTTCATTCATGCGTGTCATGTTCACGCCTTGAGGAGGCAAAGCGTGACCCTGACACGCAGCGCCGCCGCTCCCACCACGCGCATCACGCGCTGTGCGTAGGGCACCAAGTGCTGAGGGGGCACCAAAAATAGCCTAATGAAAAACCAATCATCAAACTTCTTGTTATAATCAGATTCAGCGCGTTCTTCCTCTTCATTCCGCAGCGGCGCCGAGCAGAGACAGAGAGCACGTCAGAAACACAGGACAGGGTGTGTGTGTTCATGTGTGTTCATCTGAGCCTCATTGGTCTGTCACCGCTCGTCAATGTCAGAATATTTGAGATGACCAATCAAATCAAAGTAGGCGGGCTTTATGTTCACAGACGCTGAGCGCGAATTTTAACAGTGCAACTCGACGCTTCAGTGTACGGTCAAGTGCGAGATAAGATGTAAGTAGCTAAACTTAACTTTATTTGACAGTTTTTTTTAGGTCATAAATGTTAAACGAATGACAAAAAATAATTAGGCAAACTAATATAGTTTTGTCTAATTTCGCCATTTTGAACTGAAAATAGGCCTACATGTAGCCTAGTGTAATAGTTTAGGCTACTGTCATTGTGAGGGGACAAGAAACATGAACAAAGCCGTTTTCATCATGTTAGGCACAGGATTTATAATGAATGTGTACATATTGAGAATAAAATACAAATTGTAACCTTTAGTAAATTAAAAAAGCCAATTTTAGGAGAGGAAGAGACAGGGCAAGATATAAACAAAGAGAAAAAGAGTGTGATGCTGATGAGGAGAGAAAAATAATCAGCTGCCCACTGACATGGTTTTAAAGCTGTTGTTATCGAATTTTTTTTTTTTTTTTTTTGCCTTCACAACATCTTAAAATGCACATCTGTAGTTCAGAAAAATCCAAAAATTTCCCCCGAACACCCCTAACTAACCTGCCTCAAATTCGGGATCCCAGTGATTATAAAACCATGCCATTGCATGGTAATGAAACTAGTTAATAGTAAGCATTAGACCCTAATCTAAAGTGTTACTTTTTAGCTTTTAATTTTTTTTATAAATCATACCCTCATTGGGGGCTTAGCCCCCCTAAATGAAAATCCTAAATGAAAATGTTTTTTTTAGGAGGGAGGGAGGGAGGGAGGGAGAGGGGGGGGGGGGGGGGGTGGGGGGGGGGGCATCATAAAGGAATTATGCTTAGGGCACCAAAATGGCTAGCAGCGGCACTGCTGACACGCATCCGCTAGTGGACCAGCGTGTGTATTACACGCTTTAGCGTGATACCGGGTTGCCTAAATACTACTCAAAGTAGGAGTAAAAAGTAGCCCTTTTAAAAGTACTCAAGAGTAGTGAGTAGTGAGTATTATGCTATGAATGTTAGTCCACCTTGTACCCTGCAAATTGAAAATGTAGCTTACTCTTTTATCACAGATTCATAGAAAAAAAGAAACAGTAGGCTATTTCAATATTTCTCCAACAGTTTTATTTTTGACTGCTAGCACTAAAAATACAGCGTTCCCCCAACCATTTTTTTTGGACTACCCCCGCTCCTCCTAAAATGCTGACAAAATCCAGTCATAAAAAAGGAATTTACTGTATAACGCGAAATTTCACGGAATTTGTCATTTTTGGAATAAATAGAAAGCAGTTCAGTACACTTGAAATCAAATCGCGATATAGTGTGTGTGTGTGAATATTAAACCACAAAGACAATTTAAATACGAATCCTGCATGTTCTGTGTGAACGAATGGTGCAGCCGACGTGCAGTTTCATTTACCACACACACACACACACACACACACACACACTGAAGCACGTGTGACGCTTGCGCTGTTTTTTTGCCTATATGAAGACACGAATGCATGATCTTCCTCCATGCTCAAGATCCACTCCGAAAGTCACTTCGTGAACAAAATAAATTGGCGCCAGGTGTCTCGAAGTCTGTTGATGCTGGTTTGATGCAAAGTTTTCCGCGCGCGATTTGATTTGACGGGAATCACGCATGAGTCACATGATGACTTATTATAAAAATAAATATTAATATAAATGTAGCGACGGCAGGTTCAGGGAAAATAGCGCAGTAAAAGTACCGATACAACACTTAAAATGTACTCAAGTAAAAGTAAAAGTACACTGTTTTTAAACTACTTAAAAAAGTACAATTCCTAAAAAAAACTACTCAATTACAGTAACGAGAGTATTTCTAATTCGTTACTTTACACCACTGCTGACAATCATTTAAATTTACCGTGTAATCTTGATTGTTTGGCCGTTTCATATAGTTTAGCGTAGGCTACATGATGATGGTTAATTCTAGAAGAAATGGAAACATTTTACTAGGCCTACATCAAATTAGTTTCAAAAAGAAAAAAAACTCTAGATGCAGGTTTTTCACGGCATATAAAATGTTTTTAAGCTTGACATGTCGTCCTGCTGAATGGCTACACTGGAAAAAAAAGCAGCGTGGTCAAAAACATCCGTTGAATGTTTACAATAATAGCATAGCCAAACAATAATAAAAAAGGGTAATGAACGTTTTGTGTGAACCGAGATAACCAACACATTCTGGTGCCATTGATTTATGACCAACACCACCAGCTGTTCTTGTAATAGCCTAATGTTGTTCCACGTAATAGTCACATATATTTCCAGGATAAAAATGTTTCAACCGTAAACAGAAATACTGTTTTGTGGTGTGTTGTTGCTATCATCGAGGATGCCCCGCGTTTCTGTCACCAAAGAAACGTACTCGGTTACTAACGTAACCTCGGTTCTCTCTAGAGAGGGAACGAGTACTGCGTAATAGCTTACGCTAGGGGAAAAACTCTTTTCCACGAGATATTGAAGCCAAAAATTATCCTTAATTTTTTATTAATGTAAAACGCTTTGCAGCAGCAAGCAGACATAGGCGAAACAGCTCGCGCGCCTATTGGCTGCTCTTGCGGCAAATGCAGCAGCCTATCGAGAGAGACTCTGCGTGACGTAATGACCAATGGGGGCAATTCGCGCCCATATCGTCACGTCCCGCCAGAAAGGGCGTGGTCTCACCCTATAAATATGCTCGTTAGGCTGGTACAAGCTGGTTTTCATCGCTGAAGCGAACCAGAGCGTATTCCAAGCACGGCAAGATACGCAGTACTCGTTCCCTCTCTAGAGAGAACCGAGGTTACGTTAGTAACCGAGTACGTTCTCTTACGAGA